GGCAAACCTCCTTCCTTCTCTGAGCCTCATTTTTGTCATCTGGAAGAGGGGACCGTGCCCAGGGGACTTTAGCTCTTCTCATCACGTGGCTTCACAGCGGGTGCTGGAGAGTCTGTGCTGTGCAGGGGGCACCGGGCACCCAGGGGCGGCTCAGGGAGGAAGTGAGCAGGACAAGAGGGTGACCCCGAAGCCAGGAGGGGGAGCGGCAGGAGCAGCACGGACACAGGAGTATGGCCCGGGGGTGGCTGAGCCGGGCTGGGCAGGGCCTGGGAGGAAGGGCTGGATCCTCCGGGCCAGGGACTTTGAGTATTTTTAACGGTGGCCCCATGTTAAGAGATGCATGCTTCGGCATGACCCTATCTGAACCCGACTATGTGAATATAACTGAAACCAGAAGGTCGCAAACAGTGCCCTTACTACGTGTGAAATGCTCCAGTTCTGTTTTAATTGCTTGTCTTAACCCTGCAAATTGATTCCAGGCTCCTTCCTGGGCTTCCTCCAGCAGGGAGCCCCTGCCAGCTCAGGCGGGGCAGGAGCAGGGTGAGTGACGGGAGCTGCTGAGCTGGGGGGGACAGTCTGATCCTGAACGCTGGTGACCCGGAGGGCAGCTGCTGGGGTGGGCACTCGCACACCCGGGGTCAAGGTCCCTGCCTGCCAACTGCTGCCCCCAGGGACTCAGCGAGTGTCCGCAGGCCAGGGGTGGGAGGGCAGCAACTCCATCCAGCTTTCAAACCCCAAGTTCGAGCGGCCACAGATTCATAAGAAGAACCGGAAAAGGAAGGACTCAGGCGCCAGTGGGTGGTAAAGCCTTTCCCAACGCGGTGGTGGAGCACGCAGGGTGGGGAGACGTGCAGCCCAGAGCCTGCGCACACCACACCCAGGCAGGGGAGCCTCTTGGGCCAGGCCCCTGGGGTCCTGTCCACCTGGACCACCACCACCAGGGCGTGTGCGCCCTGCGCTCAAGCAGGCAGAAGGGTAGGGCTGGCTTTTGCCTTTGCAGACTCACAGAGAGGACTCAAGGACTATCTGATTTCCCTGCCTCGTCCTTGTCCCCTAGGACAAGGCAGCCTGGCCCCACGGCAGACATGCTGAATTCCTGGTCCCATTTAATCCCACTGCAACCCCGTAACGTTGGCATTGTTGCTCTCCCTGTGTTGCAGGGGAGACACCGGGGTTCAGAGAAGTGAAGCCACCTGTCCAAGGTTGCGCAGCCTTTAAGAGGCAGAGCCAGGATCCGAATCCAGGCCCGCTGCCTCCAGACCTGGGCTTTTGCCAGTGGCCCCCTGAAAACGCCATCTCCTGCAAAGTGGGGTGGACGTGCTTGGCAGGGGTAGTCCCTGCTGCCCAGTTGGGGACATCTGCTCTGGTGGTCATGTGGGGGGGGCGGGGCAGGGGAGGATTGGAGACTAGAAAAGAAACAGCTAAGCCCTTGGGTGGGGCTGGGCCCTACCAGACACCCCAGCCTTCCTCCCCGCCAGGCAGCTGCGTGAGCCAATCCAGGAGGTGCCCAGCCAGCTCACATTGTCTCATGGGGGACACACTGCCTTTGCAGAACAAGGGACAAAGCGTGATGCCGCCACAGCCGTCGCTGGGCGTGAGACAGTAGTCACACTGCCCTCAGAGGACACACCTCATGCTCTGGGAGGGTCCCACTGTAGCCCCCCTAAGCCTGGGGTCAGAAGCGGACACCCCTAGGGCAGGCCCCTGCAGTTCTCTCTGAGCCCCTCTTCACCCGCCCTCTCTGCCCACTGTGGCCTCCGTGTGATCTTGGAGCCATGTAGCCACCTGTCAGCCATCTGACTGTGAAAATCTGTGACATCCATCAGGGGTCTGACAAACCTGTTTTTAGCGTCTAATGGCTACTGTGCCTGGTGCCACCACGAACGCCCTCGCCATATCTGATGGCCGCTTCTCAGCCCGGGTACTGGCTGTTCTTCCTCAGCACAGTCAGACTAACCTGGGTTCAAACCCTGCCCCACTACTCATGACTTCTGTGGCCTTGGGCCTCTAAGACCCTCTGTATCTCTGTCTACAGAATGGGGTTGCAATAGTTGCCTTGTAGGATTGTTGTGGTATTTAATTGACCTAGGACCTGTCACACCCAGCCAGGGTACATTTCTGTACCTTTTCCTTCCCTTGTCTGTGTGCTCCTGCTGCCAGGTCACCCACACGCCACCCTCTGCCCAGACAGACCCAGTGGCTCCCAGCGCCAGCCCTCCCCAGGCTCCCTCTGCTCCACACCACCCTTCCCTGTTAGACTGGGGGTGCTGCCAGGGCACCTAGGTCCCCTGAAATGTTTGTGGGAGGCAAAACAAATGATGGCTGGAAAGAATTTGAGGACTTGGAAATGACTATGAACCTGTCTGCACTGGCTGGGGGAAGAACCCCACAGTCTGCACCCCAGAAGGGGCCTCCTGGTGGCACATGTCCAGGATAGGGGGTGGGAGCCAGGCAGCTGCCGTGGCCCAGGCCTTGGGGTGCCGGCAGCCCAGTGGCAGCTCAGGACCGGGGAGGCGATTAGCTCCACTACCAGGCCAGGACCCAAAGGCTCAGCTGCGACCGCAGACCTTTCCTCCCTGGGTTTCTGGCCTGCTGTCTCCAGATCGGCTGTCACCATTGATTGAACCGGTCAGAGATGCTTCCTCTCTTCACCATTTGGCGACAACAGTTTCACCAGAAGTCTGAGGTTCTCGCTCCAAAACCTCTCCTGGCCGGGGCAGACCTGAGCCAGAGCCACTCATTTTGATGACCCTGACCTGCTGACCTTAAAATAACGAATCCCAGAAGGCTGTAGAATGGTAGATGTCTATTTTTATAGATTTCCCCAGAACCGTAAAGATCAGCTTAACTGCAGTAGCAACTTCCACCATCCTCTAAGAGGACGCCTCGCATGGGGAGAATTCTTTGAGACAACTGGACAAATGTCTTCCTGGCAGGACAAAGAGGAAGGTGGCTTCTTTGTACTGACAGTGTGTCTGTCCATCCTCCCAGAGACGCTATGAGGAGGAGCAGGGGGCCCTGGGGAGGGGGAGTGCCCTTGGCGTGGCCACCGTCCTGGTGGTTTCGGTCAGGTTCCAACCCTGCCCCCCACGAGGAAACACCAGCTGGTGCCCTTGCCCCAGCTGCCCAGGGTCACTGCGAGAACCAAACAGGAGGATGCAGGTAAAAGTTGGCCAACGGCTCCCAAGCCGAGTCGGTGGAACCAGCTGGGAGTTGGCCAGGTGAGGTCAGGGGGCTGCAGGGCAGGTGCACAGAGTGGTAAGCCTGCGTGTGCAGGGTGGGGTCGTGGGTGCAGCCAGCGGTGCTCTTAGTCATTTGCAGTTCATCCCACCCCTCTTGCCTCTTGTGTTTCCGGCCCAGGGACCCCGGGGGATCGTGCAACACCCGCACCTCGGCACCCCTACCCTGCCCCTGCCTCTTCTCAGATAAACCTCTGCCCTGAATCAATGCTCCTTGTTTTATAACAAAACTGATACATTGTTATCGTTAAACAACAACAATCCTGAGATAAGAGTCCAGAGCTACAAAGTACCGTGTAAAATCACCTCCCACCCTGCCCGCCAGAGGGGAGCCAGAGGGGAGCCCTGGGACAGGGGGCCAGCTACGTGGATAGTCCTCCAGTGGGCGGCTGTTGTCATATCCATTACAACAAAGCCAACCCGCTGTGGCAGCCAGTCATTCCCTGGGACTGTGAGTGCCTTTAGTTCTTCAAGGGAGGGGGGTGTCTCTTTAGTGGCTCAACACCAAGTTCAAAACATCTGTGTGGCCCGGGCTTTAAGGGATTAACTGGCACGAAAAGCCACCTCTGTCCCTCCCTCTGCGTCTTCAGAAGGCCTGGCCTCCCCTGGGGACCCCCTTCCCGGGGCTTGGGCTGAGCTGAGCTGAAGAGATGTGGGAAGAGACCAGCCTGGCCCCTCGCCAGCCCCACACCACAGGCAGGAGGCCCACGCCTGACTTTCCCCAACAAAATAAATCTCGCGGCTCCCTCTGAGTGGCTCAAACGCAGATCTTCTCCCGATTAACAACCCGGCCTACGTGTTCTTGGCTGCCTGCTGCCGACCTCAATTTAGAACTGTCTGCTGTTCAGCTGCTGGAGAAGGAAGGGCCCGGAGGGACAGGAATACTCAGACCGGGGCCAAGCGCAGCTCAAGTCTGGGGGTGCGGCTGACCCCGGCCCAGAGTCTGAGAGCATCCCAGAAGCCTGCTGCGATGCCAGGTGAACTGTTTCCCAAGAGCCTCTGATTGGTGAGGGGCGGGGAAGGGGGTCCGGCAGAACTGCTTTGTCGTGGTCATTGAGCATCCATCGCGTTCACAGCCGATGGAGCACCCCTGCAGTGTTGGAAAAACCGCTCTCAGGGACGTTGCGTGTTATACGATATCAAAGCTTGACAAATCCTCTCCCAGCTCAGATTCCCGGAAAGTTTTGTCCCTCCTGCTGCCTGCGCCTCCTCCTTTGGCACCAGAGAACAGTGGGCAGACCTGCCTCCCTCCCTGTCTACTCGCTGCCGGGAAGCGCTTGCGTTTCTTTATTTTGCTTTCCTGCCTCCTCCTTCTGGACTTCTCATCCTTCCCCTGCTTTCTGTCTTCCCAGACCTGCGCTTTGATCCACTGCGGGGGCTTGGCCTTTGGGAAGAGAGGGCTGGGAGCATGGGCAGGGCGGTAGCTCCCTCCACTCCATACCTGCTGAAGGCTGGGAGCGAGGGGCTCCACCTCCCTGACCTGAGACTCTTCCTCTTGGTAAAACGGGCCTCGGGGTGTATTAAGAGAGGTGGAGCTGTGCGTCAAGTGCCTGGCACAACATCTGTGCATGGCGAGTACATGAGAAGTGGGAGCTGCCCCTGCACCCCACTGAGTGCACAGGAAGTGTGAGTCGCGCCTGCACACGGTAAGTGCCCGGGAAGTCAGAGCTGCACCTGCACAGGTGAGCGCAGGGAGGTGCGAGCTCAGGCCTCACCGGCAAGCAGGTGACCTGTTACTCTCTCCCTCTGCTTCCCCTGCAGGAGGACAGTCAGTGACCCACACCGGCCTGCCCATCGTGGTCTCCCTGGCCAACAGGGCCGTCTCCTTCAGCTGCAGAATCACCTACCCATACACCCCAGAATTCAAAGACTTCACAGTCCGCTACTTTCACGAAGATCTCCAGGGCCGGAGGAGCTCTGAGGAGCAGACTAGCTGCAGACCTGACCTGGGCACAGAGAACCAGACCTCCACCTTGGAGTGCCAGGTCACCCCCAGGCTGCGGAACTCATCAGCCACTGGCACCTACTACTGCTCTGTCCACTGGCCACGCTCCACAGTGAGCGGCAATGGCACCTTCATCCTGGTCAGAGGTGAGGCTCCCTCTGTGGCTCTTCCAGGGGCAAAGGACCTAGAGGTTTCAACTGGCAGAGTTTGGGGCACAGGGTCTGCAGTGGGGGGTGGCTTGCCTGGTCCTCCCGCTTCGGCAAAGCTGCAAGAGCATTCTCAGGGAGCCCCGGCCTCACAGGGGTGCCAAGGCTCCACCTCTGTATGGGAAGGGCAGGGGCTGGCATGTAATCTGCCCCTAGCCACCTCTGGCAAGTGACCTGAGAGAGGTCACTTGGCCCCTTGGTCTCAGCGTCCCATCGGCACAGTGTGGGGGGCGGGGGCGTTGGGCCTCTGCAGAATTGGGCATGTGCACATAGGTATTTGTGGGGGCCTCGTGTACGTGAGCATTCAGGTCATGTGCATCTTTCTAGGGACAGACTTTTAGTTTTCATCACACTCTCAAAGGCTCGATGACCCCAAAAGTTAAGAACGAGCCCGTCCTCAAAGTGGTGATTCTCTGACCTGCTCTGTGATTCCCACTGGAAGGGGCTGGGGGCTTTTTAATCTGCAGATCTGGGTTTGAATCCCATCCTGCTCCTTGCCCGATGTAACCTTGGCCCTGGTCCTCGTGGCGATGCTCTGCCTTTCGATACCTTTTATGGGGAGGGATGAGATGGTTCACGTAAAGGCTGGCACCTGGCAATGGGAGGTGCTTGGTAATGGCACTGATGTGGCTGGCACTCCATAGTCTTTGCCAGCCAGACGGATGGATGGGGGTTGGGGGAGGGAGGGATGGGTGAGGGAGGGAGGGCTCAGGAGGAGGGCTGTGCCCTCACCTACCTGGCGCAGCCCTCTGTCAGTCCCAGCACAAGCCTCCCCACCCACCCGTACCACCATGTCACAGAGGGAAAAGAAGAGGCCTCAAGAGGAGGCTTAGCAGAGCGGGTAGGCCAGCGAGGACCCGAGGCGGGGTTCTGGGGCCTTGTGGGGAGTGTTGTAGATGGGGTCCTGGCAGAAGGAGAACACAGGGGTTTGGGCGTCTGGGGGTTGGTGGAGTGGGGTGTGCCCAGCTTCTCCTGGTGACTCACCCCTCTGCTCACTGCCCCTTCTCCTAGACACGGGGTACCGAGAGCCCCCCCACGGGCCCCAGAAGGCCCTGCTCTTCGGCTTCACCGGCCTCCTGACCGTCCTCAGCGTCCTGGGCACAGCTCTGCTGCTCTGGAGAAAGGTACGGGGTGAACGCGCGCAGCACTGCACCCCTCCCGACTCTGCGTGGCTTGGGAATGTCCCGGGGCGGAGGGGCTGCGCACAGGTGTCCCTCATGGGCCCTTGCACCAGGGGCCAAGAGCGCACCTACAATCCCAGCACTCTGGGGGGCCAACGTGGGAGGACAGCTTGAGGACGGGAGTTTGAGACCAGCCTGGGCAACCAAAGATAAGAAAATTAGCCAGGCGTGGCGGTGCGCACCTGTGGTCCCAGCTACTCCGGAGAGGCTCTTTCTGCCTCTTAAAAAAAAAGGAAGGATCACGGAGGGTCTCCCCACACGGTGCCCAGAGTGAAGGAAGGCAGGAGGCAGGTGGTCATCACATCCAGCAGGGAACAGCAGGCGCGGGGCTCTGAGGCAGGCGCAGGCTTGGGCGTTCCAGGAGCCGCGGGGGGCCCGTGTGGCTGGCGTGGCCCACGCTCACAGAGAGTGAACAGAGGGAGGGAGATGAGGCCGGGTGCGGGCACTGGAAGGACTTTAGCTCTCCCTGTAAGCGAGGAGAGCGAGGCGGACAGGACGTGACTTGGTTTCCAGTGGGCCCTTGGCTGGGCGAGGGAGACCCGGTGAGGAGCCCAGAGAGAGGCGCGGGACCTGGGAGCAGGTGGGTGAGGCAGAGGCTGCAGGTGGTGCTGAAGGGACACCGAGGGGTGGCACGGTGCGCAGTCTGCGGAGCTTGATGTTTGTGCCTTTGCTCTGCTCTGTCCGGGAGGGCCTGCGGGCGGCTGCCCTGCGGGCTGTGGCCTGGAAGGGTGGGCGAGGAAGCTGCAGGGTCTGAGCCACACAGCTGCACTTGGCAGGCCTGGGGTTTGAACCCAGCCTCGGTTTCCCATCCTTGTCTTAAGGCTGGGGACGTAATTGCTCTTCCAGAGAAGGCTTCAGGTGCTAGAGCTGGGCCCCTTTTCACCCCAAGAGCCTCGGGGGGCTGCATTTCCTGCCTTCTGCGAGCCGGTGCCTGGGAAAGGGCCTTGGCCTCGATGCTGGCTCCTCTCCTGGCCCGGACCGCGCCCTCAGGACGCAGCAGGAGCAGGTCTGACCCTGGCCTGACTCCTCCTGATTTGGCCTCGCCCTGCTGATGAGCTGCAAAGTGAGCCCACAGGTGCTGGGCACCACTGTGCGGTCCTGGGAGGGCCCTGTCCCCTTGGCAGGTCCTTGTCCCCACCTCTGACCCAGCCACAGGGACGAGCTAAGCAGCAGGGAAGACCCAAGTAGGGGAGGGAAACGCTTCCCTCAGCCTCCAGGACTCCAGAGTTAGGGTGGAGACCACCGGCTGCTGGGCCACCTCCTCCCTCAACCAACACTGGGTGCGCCCCTACCGAGTGCCGGCTCTCTCCCGGCCGTACCCCCACTCCTGCCCTCAATACACTTCCTCCCTCCCTCTCCCCTGCTTTTCCCACGACGATGGCAAGTAGGATAGCTCTTGATTTGTTCACGACTCAGCGAACGTCTACCGAGCAGCCACCAGGCGTTGGAAATGGGGCCAGGGCTAGAGCTTGGGCAGGGACACAAAAACTGGGCTTCAGGCACGGGTGGTGAGGGACTCACCCAGCTGTGGACCCCCAGCCCCAGGCTTACATGAGTGACCTGCACCAGAGCCCTCCGCGGGCACGAGGCACAACCTAGGCACAACCCCCCCCACCTTGCTAAGTGACCCCAGCGCCCACCCTGCAGAGACAGGATTGTAGTGATGGGATCTCAGTGATGGTGACAGAGGGGCAAGCCTCAGAGCTGTGGCCTTGGCCACAGTCCCTGCCCCCTCTCCCCCTGAGCGGCCTCAGAGCCTACTGCCTTCCTCCCCCTCCTCCTCTCACCTCCCTCCCCATACTTCTAGGAACGTCTGTGGAGCATCTAGTATGTGTCAGGCGCCGGGCTAAGCGCCAGGCAGCGTGGCAGGCCAGGCCTTAAGACGAGAGGGTCACGTTTGGACCCTCTCTGAGCCTCAGTTTCCTCCTCCATGAATGGGGATTAGGACAGCCCCCCAGTGGGGGGTGGGGGCGAGGGTGGAAGGAGCACTTTTGAGGTACCAGTCAGGTGCCTGACGCACAGTAGGAGCTCCCCACCGCCCCGACCCTGCACCAGGGGAGGACGGCTGATGTGGGGCCTGGACTTAAGGGGAGAGGGAAGTCGGAAGGCCACAAGCAACTGCCGCGCTTGCGTTGCTAAGGCAGCCCCAGTAGCTCTCTGGAACTGGATCCGAATCCATGGTGGGGACCACAGGGCTGCTGCCAGATGGCCTGGGGGTGGGGAGATGAGGAAGAGGTTCCCTCCAGGCACAGAGGACTCTGGGAGCACCTGCAGTGGCAGTTGATAAATGAATCAAAGCTAGAAGCTAGGGGGGAGGGGGGAGGAGGGAGGAGGGGACGGGTATATGCATACACAAAGAGTGCAATGCGCACCACCCGAAGGTGGTGGACATATTTGAAACTCGGACTTGGCGGGGGGGGGCATGGGCAACATACGTAACCTAAACATCTATACCCCCATAATATGCTGAAAAAAAAAAAAAAAAAAAAAAGCTAGAGGCTACCAAGGCAGAAGCAGCAGAGGGTGGACCCCAACCCACAGTCAGATGCTCTGGGGGCAGTGAAGATGGGGCAGAGCCCGAGACCCCACTGGGCCGAGTCCGGAGAGAGGCCATTGTCTCCCCAAGGCCTGCAAAGGCCAGGCAGGGAGGGCACCGAGCTCACACCCCCAGGGACACTGGGAGCCAGAGGGTGGCAAGAATGGAAGCTTTGGGGGGACTTCCTGGGGAGGTGGAGGCAAGAGGGATGGTGGGCAAGGACCCAGGGAGGGACGACCACAGTCTGCTCTTCCTGCAGGCTCTTTTTGGGTTTTTTTGGTTTTGTTTTTTCTTTTAAGGACAGGGTCTCACTCTGTTGCCCAGACTGGAGTGCAGCGGTGCAATCACAGCTCACTGCGGCCCTGAACTCCTGGCCTGAATCGATCCTTTCGCCTCAGCCACCCAGAGTGCTGGGATTACAGGTGTGGGCCTCCGCGCTGGGCCAACCGCAGGCTCTTTAACAAGAATTAGCAGAGGCCCCCCAGGCCTTTGACCTCTCTGTTCATCCTGCCCTAGGATGCCTCCCAGAGATCTTCTCCTGCCTTTCTGGACCCAGGTCCAGTGTCCCCTCCTCAGAGAGGCCCTCCCCGGCCCCCTGGCTATCTCCTCCACCACCCTCCCTGCCTCCACCCTGTCACCCGTAGGTCCCCTGGCTCCACTCCATTTCCTCCCCAAGGCCAGCTCTGTGGGGCCGGCTGCGGCCCCGCCGCTAGCACAGGGCGCTGCACACAGGCCCTCCGTGGGCATTTGCTGACAGGCTGCAGTTTGCAGGGCCCTTTCACGCTCACCATTAAATCCGTTCATCATTCCTTAAGCAGACACTACCTGAGCACCCACTGTGTGCCAGGCCCTATACCGAAGGCTAGGGACACAGAGGGACACAGTGAAGACTCCCAGTCTGGGGAGGACATCGCTGGTAAACTCATGCCCTGTTAAGAGAAAAGGAGGCGGCAGCGGGCAGGGGCCTAAGAACACAGACTCGGGCCAGTGTTCCTAGTCCAGTCCTGCCGCTTACCAGTGCCCTGACCTTGGGCCGGGAGCTCAGCTCCTCTGTGCTCGGTTTCCTCGGCGGGGCTGCCAAGCAGAGGGGCTGCGTCATGGGTTGTGGAAGGGGCAGAAGTGCAATGTGAGTCTGCAACACTCGGAGCACCAGGACAGGTCGCCCTCTCGAGAGGCAGTGATCACCGTGATTGCCGCCACGGCAGCAGGTCCAGGCAGTCCACCAGGGCATCCGACCTGCCCTTGCCCTCTGACGGCATCTGAAACACAGCCCCCTCCCCCACGCACACTCCCTCCCTTGGTTCCGTTCCCCAGGCACGAAGGGTGCTGCCCGGAACCCTCCCACGCCCCAGACCGTGGTCCACTGTGCGCGACAGCTCCACGTGGGGCCCGAGGGGGCTCTTCTCTCTCACCCCTACATCTGCCCCCTCAGCAAGTCCTGTCCCCATCTGTCCAGGATCCAGCCCCTTCCCCTTGTCCCCACCAGCCCCGGCTCAGAACTCTGTCATCCTTCTCCCGGAATAGAATAGCGTCTCTGCTGCCACACCTGCCTCCCCCCAGCTGCCACACCCTGGCCTCCGTTTTACCCCCGCCAAAGCGCAGCCCCCGCAGGGCAGGGACTTGGTGTCCCCGTGCCTGGGGGAGCCTGGCACATAGTAGGTGTGGGAGGAACGAAGGAACAAATGCACGAGGGAACCTGGAAGATAAGTCGGAGGTGGCCGGGGCACCATTCTCACCCCCATTTTACAGAGGAGGAATCTGAGGCCCAGCAGGCTTCCCGAGCTGCCGGTGGCGGCGCCCCTGTGTGCAGGGGGTGCATCCCGGCCCAAGCCTGGTGACTCCCCACCAGCACCTACTGGTGCGGAGAGACGTGGGCACACAGAGCTGGGCACAGTGCGGGGAGCCACACTGGTTATTCATTTGGAAAATGCAAGTGAAAGGGCAAGTGTCGACCACCTGGGACAGGGCGCTCAGATGGGCAGGGCTGGCTCCAAGGAGCAGAGCACCCCCAGCCCCTGTAACAAAATGACACCTGTCTGAGTTTTCAAGGGAAAACTCTGCTCCAGGGGACCCCTTCCCCCAGCCTAGGCCTCCTCAGCTGCCCCCTAAGGCCCCCACCCACTCCCAGAGGTCTCCTGCCCCCCTGCCCCTGCCAGCCCCAACCTTCAGCCCCGCCTGTGCCTGTGGCAGCTCAGGGGGCCTTATAAAATGTGAACCTGACCACTTCCCTGACCTGGCAGCCCCCACTGCCCTCGGAGCGAAGACACCGTGGCCTTTTGTGGTCCCGCCTGCGCCAGCTCCCAGCTCACCTCCTTCCCTTTCCATCTGACAGTCCTCCACACGTCGTGCTCCTCCTGCCCCCGAGCTATTCCACATGCTGTTCCCAATGCCTGGGACACTTTCTCAGAGTCAGAGAGCTTGGACGTGCCTCTCCTGTCTTCAGGAGACCATGCAAGGCAGCCCTGAGAAGTCTGCTCCAGCCGCCTGCAGACTTGAGGCTCCTTCCCTGGACCCTGCAGTGGCATTTACCTCCTGGCGAGCCCCCCCCCACCCCCCTGCCCCCTGGTATCACCGAGAGAGCCAGGACGCCAGGCCTGGGTGTCACTCATCACGGTCTGCAGCACCCAGCCCAGGCCCGGCACGTAGGGGGCCAGCGAGGGTTGTCCACAGCAACCTGAAGCTCCCAGGACCATGTTTTCTAGCCTGTGTGGCCCAGACCCAAAGAGCTGTCCCAGGTCAGCCTCCTGGGACAGCCACTGCCCGGGAGCTCCCCCCTCGGCTTGGCAGTGCTCAGGCCGGCCGGCTCCGTGAGGGGAGGCACCAGGACTCGGGCTGTCTCAACAAGAGGGGGCATTGAGGCGCCCTGAGGGGGCCGCAGCCTCTGACCACGACCTTCAAGAAGCAGGCGGTGCAGGGGAGGCGGCACTGGGTCTGAGGATGGGGCATCTGGGTTTGATCCAAGGGCAGCCACCCACTAGCTGGGGGCGATTCCACACCCACCTTCTGAGGTCTTTATGAGAATGAAATGAAAATAAGGACAAGTCCCAGGGGTCTTTGTAAACTGTAAAGTGCTACACAGACGCCAACCCCTTTAACTGTATCTGTGAGACCTACACGTTCTAACAGAACAGAAGAGCAAAAATTCCAGCTAGTGTCTGGTCAGTATCTTGGTGAAACACAGACCTGGGTTTAAATCCTGCCTCTGCCGCTTCCTGGCTGCGTGGCCTCGGCAAGTCACCTGCCCTCTCTGAGCCCGAGCTTCCTCGTGTGCAGGGCAGAGACGTCACACAGACCTGCCTGCAGGTCTGCTGAGGGCCGCGTGAGATGAGGCAGGTCAGGTGCTCGGAGCCCGACCTGGCCCCGGGCTCTGGGCCGTGACTGTGCCGTGGCTGGGATGACTCTGGCTTCTGCCTGAGAGTTAAGTGGCTCTCAAGAGCTAATCCCAGAGTAAATGGGCTGGGGATTGGCAGCCAGCCAGGGTTTTTAATTAGCTCCCGCCTGGAGATGCGGCTGCCGTTGCTCCGCTGTTGGCAGTGTGGTGCCTGCGATGGGGGCAGGTCCGGGCCGCCCCCCTGCCTTGGAAGGAGCTGCCCTCATGGCCCAGCAGGCCCGTCCAGCCTCCACAGCTACTGCTAGCCGCAGCCAGCGTGAGCTTTCCAGAGCCCAGCTCTGATCCCGGCGCCTCCTACTAAAGCCTTCAGATGTGAACCCACCCCCCCATCCACACTCTCCTTGGCCACGCTGACCGTCTTTAAGTGCCTCAAGACCTCCAGGCCTCGGCACAGGCTGTTCCCTCTGCCTGGAACTCCCTCCTCCCTGTCTCACTAAGTGACCTTCTCAGCCTTCAGATTTCACCTGCGAATCCCTCCTACCCAGTGGGGCTGGTCTCCTCCTTGCGTGCCAGAGGCCAGGGCCGCACGTACCACCTTTTGATATCATCGTCTGTCTCTGCCCTGGACCCTAGACTCCAGGAGGGCAGGGGCAGTGTCAACCTCTCCACGCTGCTTGGCTACTGGGTACTTGACAAATGTGTGTGGGTTGACTGAGAGCCTCGTAAGTGCCACTGCAGTGCCAAGCACCTACCCCCTCGTCCCCTGCTTGGACCCTTGCAACGATCTCACCGAAAGAGGGTTATTGCTGAAGAAATCGAGGCCAGAGCCAGTGAGGGCACAGTGGGACGGGACGCTGGGCCTGGCTGGCGCCTGCTCAGGGCCCACCCACAGCAGTCGGCTCCGTCACTGGGTCCCTGCCATGCTGTTCCCAGGCCCTGCAGCTCCAGCCTGTCCTGAGCCAGGCGCTGTGTCCATGGACGCGGCCTGTGTGGGTCTTGTTCATTCCCTGTGTCTCCAGGTGCAGGAGTGAGTGGTTCGATGTAGGTCTTGGAGACATTTGTCACATTTCCCAGGAGAGGGTGAGTGGATGGTGCTGAGTGATTAATTTCTGTGTGGCCTCCTGACGATCTGCCGTGCTTTCCCCTGGCGGGGTCTGTAAGGGGAGGAAGACAGGGGCGCTCTGCCCCACCCCTGACTTTTTTCTCCCTCCAGAAACGGATGCAGGTCCCAGGGAAGCCACCCAGCAAGCAGTGCCCAGATCCCAGATCTGCCAGCGGCCCCACGCAGCCCCCGGCAGAGTCCGTCTACACGGTGAGTCCTGGGGCCCGGTGCCGGGTCTGATACTGTGGCTTGGTCTTGTACCAGCCGTGTGACCTCTCTGAGCCTCAAGTTCCTCATCTGTAAACCTGGGGACAATAGTTCCTACCTTGTGGGATGTCTATGAATGTGAAAAGAGGTTACCCGTGCGGGGTCCCTGGAAGGTATACCAATGTCGGGTGCCACCCCGTCCCCCTTCTTGGCACGGCCCTTCACTTCTGGAACAAGAGGTAGCGAGGCCAGAAGACAAGGAGGAATTGCAAAAATTCCTTCATCTGACCACCGACGGTGACCAGCTCACCAACTTCCTCCTCTTTTTATTGCACAAACAACATCACAGCAACAACAACCAAAAATCACAAAAAGAGGAAAAGGTCAGGCACCGTCCCACGCCTCAACACATCAATGATTTCAATTACTCACTTCTTCCCACCACATACGGACGTTGCTTTATGGCGTCCCAACGGCAGCGGAGACACGGGCTGGGACCCTGTTTGTTCCACACCCTGTTGTGTCCCAAGCATTTTCCCCAACAGTCTCAATATTATGCGAGGGGTGGCTACAGGGCACGGTGCCAAGGGGGCTCCAAAGAGGGTGAGGAACACTCTTTTTCGGTTATGTTTCTTCCAGTTCTACAAGTAACATATGCTTATTGTAGAGAAAGTGAAAAATGCCACCCAGTGTCAGCTGGGCTGTCAATCCCATGAGAGCTACCCGGGGAGTGTAAGGCCCTGCCCAGGTGCACATTCTCAGACTGCCTCCGGCCCTAGGATCCTGCCTGTACCTGCTGCCACTGTTCCTGTCCCCGCCACTGTGACTCACTCATGAACTCAGGTCCTTTCTCCAAGGCCCCAAAACCCCACACGGAAGTTCAGAACGTGGCCATGTCTGCTGACGATGGGGGCAGGGGCAGCGAGACGGAGGGAATGTCACTACAAGGCAGCGCCGACAGCTCCAAGTGGAACATGACAGTTCTCGAAGGGCCTTCAGCCCCTCCACCCCAGGGAATTTCCACCAGCCGCTGCTTTGCACGTGGCTCCAGACTTCCCCATGTGCCGTCTTCCCGCCCCGCACCCAGCACTCAGCGTGGTGTTTTCCCTAGGAGGAAGTCTGGTGTCAGCTGTTAAATGAAAACATTTCTCTCTCTCTCTCCTCTTCTCTCTCTCTCTCTCTCTCTCTCTCTCTCTCTCTCTCTCGCCCCTCTCTTTCTTACTCTCCACACACACACACACACACACACACACACACACACACAGTGTGTGGGATATATATAAAAGGAGAAAATAACCAGTCCTAATTCCGTCTTCTTCCAGGATAAATACTAGTAACATTGAGTTCTATATGTTCCTGGCTTTTTTCTATAAATACACACAAGGAGACCTGCACACACACTCACACATACTTTTAAGAATAATTGGAGTGGTACAGCGGTTTTTTTCCTGACTGTCTCATGGCCATCCTTCCTCCTTCTGTGAGGTCATTTTAGTGGAAGAGCTCTTGGGGACGGAGCTTCTTGCTCTCCCTGGCTGGAATCCTCCGAGGCTCAGGCCGACTTCTCTGGAGCATAGTCAAGAGACTGAGCCACCTGCAGGGTTACGAGGCGGCTGGGAGAGGTTTGAGGACCAGAAACGAGATGGGACGGGAGGCCACAGGACTTTGCTAAGCCCCTGAGACAAGACTCCACTGGCTGGGGTTGGACCTGGGCAGGGAAGAATGACGTTAACTACAATAGTGATGCTACCAGGAGCCATTTGCAGTGCACTTGTCATGTGCCAGGCACCGTGCTAGGACGTTACACCCGTTATCTCACGGATCCTCTTGATAAGGCTTTCGGGTACAGGTGTCCCCATTTTCATTTTATTCTCTAAGTGACTATTGCTGGTATGCAGAATATGGTTGATTTTTGTATATTGGCTTTATATAGAGTGACCTTGTTAGATTCACTCATTAATTCTGATAGTTTCTCTGTTAATGCCTTTGGATTTTCTATGCACCCAGTCATATCATCGATGAATAATGGAAGTTTCACTTCTTCCTTACCAACGCTCACACCTTCTGTTTCTGTTTGTCCTGCTTTATCTCACTGCTGAAGACCTCTAATATGACAGGCAGCAGGAGTGGGGACAGAGGCCTTCTTGTCTTGTTCCTAACCTCCAGGAAAGGTTTTATATGTTCTTCCTTCTTTGGATGGACACTTGGATAGTTTCCTGTCTTTCTTCTTTTCTAATTTATGCATTTAAGGCTATGAACTTCCCTTTAAGTATGGCTTTAGCTGCATCCCACAAGTTTTGATATGTCACATTTTCATTATCTTTAAGTTTCAAATCTCCATTGAGAATTCTTCCTTACCCCACTGGTTATTTAAATGAATATGTTTTGCTTAATGTTTGATTATTTTCTGGTTATATTCTGTTTTTTATTTCTAGCTAATTCCACTGTAATCAGAAAATATATTCTGCATGACTTTAATCCTTTTAAATCTTTTGAGACTTGCTTTATGGCTCAGGTTATATTCTGTGTGCACTTGAAAAGAACTTGTATCGTGCCTGTTTGGATAAGTGTTCTATATATGTCAATTAGGTCAAGTTTGTTGACTGTGTTGTTAAAATATTCCATATCCTTTTTGATCCTTATTGATTTTTTTGGTCTATTTTATCAGTTGTTAAGAGAAGTTAAAATCTACCAGTATGCTCGTGCATTTGTCCATTTCTCCTTTTCATTATGTTAATTCTTGCTTTTTATTCATGTGGAAAAGTGCTCATGATCAATTATGACATGAAAAAAAACCTGCACTGTTTCAATTTGTACTTAAAAACTTGACCTATTAAGAGCATGGATTTGGGGTGGGTCAGACAGACAAGAGAGCAAAGACTGTTGTTTTGCTCACTAGTTCTGCTACTTAAACTTTCTTTCTGAGTCTTGGTTCCATAGTCTGCAAATTGGGGTTAATGAGACAATATTGCATTCACAGCTTACAAACATGCGGTGGTTCCTCCCATCTTAAATTCCTCACCTTGAGCCTACATCCGCCTCCAGCTACCTGCCCCTTCCCCACAACTCCTTGTAAGGGAACTCCAGAATTGTCACACCCTCACCTCCAGTTTCTCTCCCTCTCCTTTCCGACCTTCTCTGTCAGCCTTGCAGCCCTCTCTCCACCAGGACTTTCCTTCTCAGGGTCACAGTTGACGCCCCACATTGTTACGCCCAGCGGGCAGTTCTCTGTCCTCACCTCCCTTGATGAATCAGCAGCTTCTGACTCTGCTGAGCGCTCCCTTCTCCTCGACACACTGTCTTCACTTGCTTGCAACACGGTCCGCTCTCCTGATCCTCCTGGACTCCCGACTCCCCAGTGCCCTCACTGGTTCCTCCTCGGGACCAGGGGAGCCCCGACCTCTGCACATTGGAGCAGGCGTTGGAGTCCGGTCCTGGGACCCCTTCTGTATCTCCACTCCCCGCACTGGGTGATGTCGTTCTCCTGACTGCTTCGATATTTATCTCTGGCCCAGACATGTGCTCTGAACAGCAGAGCCAACTCTGCTCGCAGGTCAAAGCGGCATCGCTCTCAAGCCAAACCCTGATTCTTTGCCCACCTAAGGGCCTCCTCCCGCGTCGCCCTCCATCCTCCCAGCTGCTCGGGCTGAAAACGCTGGAGTCGTCCTTTCCTTCTCTGCTTCAGTCACTGCCCATCTCCGATCCACCAGCAAGTCTTGCTTCAGAACGTGTCCGGAATCCGACCCTCCTCACTGCCCGGTGCTAGCACCAGTGGGAGCCACTCCCGAGTCTTACCTGGAGTCCTGCAGGGGGTCCCCAGGCTGCCGGCCTGTTTCCATCCTCGCCCCCACGGTCTCTGTGCCACCGGGCAGCATCCAGAGCGATCCTGTTAAACCGTCAACAGGTCGTGCCCTGTGCTCAGAGCCTTGGTGAGCCCAGGTCCTCCGAGAAACAGACAGAAGATGGGATTAAGTGAGCAGTGATTTTACTAGAAACCCTGTGAGAGAAGATGGGGTGGCTGGGCAACGCTAGGAGGGCAGTCCCACTGCGCGCCAGTCTGATCCAGTGGGAAGGAAGGCCGAGGGTCTGCACCCTGGACCGGCACACCAGGATGTGAGTCGCGTGTGAGTGGGGCTGTGGGGATACCCACGGCAGAGGCACGTGGCCTCCATGCAAACGCAGCGATGGCTTTCAGAGCCCAGCAGCTGGCGATTCCCAGCTCGGTGGATTCCAATCCCTGGAGGTGGAGTCTGCGGAACAATTCTCTTGACCACCACAGCCTGCCCGGGTTCCCATCTCGCCCAGGGTCAAAGCCAGCACCCTCACGTGCTCTGTCTGCGCAGGAGCACACCAGGCATGCCCCTGCCGCAGGGCCTTTGCGCTGCTGCGCACTCAGCCCTCTGCTCACACGGGACCTTCCAGCGTGGCCTTCCAGCGTGGCCTTCTGCCTCCCACTTCCCCGCCCTCCCCAACCCCCTGTCTTCCTCTGTGTCTCTCCAGCGTCTCCGGCTGCCTTTTATTTCGGAGCTTATTGTCCATCGGCAGCCCCTCCCCACCCCGCAGCAGCCCAGTGCCTACAGCAGGTGCCCCATGGTCGACTCCTGTATAGATGGGCAGAGGACCATGCTTGCCTTCCAGGATGTCTAGGGTTCCACAGGGCCCAGCACAAGGCAGAGGGGACAGAAGAGACACCCTGTGGCAAATCTGGAGCATCAACATTGTGGTTTGCATGCTTCCTCCAGCAGCTCTGTTCCCACCCTGGTCTGGCCGGTGGGTGTCCTCACGCCCAGCCTCCAGTCCCTTCAGCTCCTGCTCCTCGTCGCAGCCCGAGGGACTTTTCTAACACACGACTCTGATGTGGGGTCAGAAGAGCCTTCGGAGGCTCCCCACTGCCAACGCCTTGGCCTGGAGCTGGGGTGCTCCGTCTCCACTGACAGCTCCTTTCTGAACAACACTCAGATCTCACCATCACCCCCGCGTCCAGGACCCTCAGATCAGGTTCAGGCCCAGGGCAGCTGGCGTGGGCTCTGGCCCCAGCCCACTTGGAGGAAGGCCTTGGCACTGACTTCACACCTCTGCCGGCTGATGCCCTTTCAGGCCAGCACTGTTGACCAAGGGGCAGCAAGAGGAAAAGGGCCTGGAGGGCCTGGGTCCCAGACAAACAGCGCAGCCCAGCGCAGCCTGAATACAGCACAGCAGGGCCCGGCACAGCCCCACGGGCCACTTAGGAAGCCTGTGCAGTCTTCTCCCGGCAGGGACACCTGAGGGAGGCTGTCCCCATCATCACCACGGAGGGCCAGGAGGAGCTGGTTCAGAGGCTCTGAGGGTGTCCTGTTGACAAGGCTGCACACTGCATTTCACAGCCTGGTGATCGGGTCACAGCCTGAATACAAATGCAGCTCAGCAGGTCAGGACTTGTCAAAGACTTCACTCAGCAGCTGCTAATTGGTGGCCACCTCCACAGCAGCCCTGCCTTGCCCGCTGTACAGCCGCCCCTTGCCCGCCCGCTGCCTGGGTTAGAGGCCTGCGGGGTCCCAGGGCAGAGTCCTCTTCTCGGGCTCTGAATCCCCTGGCCTCTCTGGGCTCATGTGTGCCAGGCAGCCCATCTGAGCTGGGCAGGAAGGAGAGCGGACCACCCATGGGACCCCAGATCTGCTTCCCTGTCAAGATGCTAGCAGAGAGGCCGTTTCCCTCCCTTCTCTCTGAAAAGGGACCAGAAATGTCCAGCTCAGAGGGGTCCAGCTTGGAGGGGCCGTCAGATCGCCCGAACGTGGAGGGGTGCAGGCCTGAGTGGACAGAGGGTGGGCAGCTGATGCTCTGGGCGCGCATGAAGACCGCACAGGCCAGAGCAGGCCTGGGAAGTTTCTTCCACCAGAAATGGGGCTTCTCCCTAGGGTGACCCTGCCCCCTTTCCTGCTGGGAGGCAGGGTGGAAGCCCCTCTCCCAAGACCCACCCTGTTTCTGGCTCAGATACCCCTTGAACTTGTCCCCAGGGCCACTCCACCATCCCCATGGCTGATGCCCTTGAAGTGAGGGTCTCCCAAGCGCCAAATGGTTTATTACACAGATTTTCATGCCCGGCTGCCTCTTGGAGCCTCCCTCCCTCCTCCTCTCCCCCCTCCCCCTCCCCTCCCACCTCCCCACCCTCCTCCTGCCTCTGAGCACCACCTGTCTCTCCAGCCTGCCTCGGCAACCCCTGCTTGCCTGTTGCCGGGGAAACCGCCTCCTTGGCAACCAGCCGGCATCCATATGACACGTACGCTTGCACACGGGAAGGAAAGGCTTTGCTCTTGCTTAGGCTGTTGGTGGGCTGTGCTCCGGAGCCCGGCGGGTTCTGAGGGAGGGTCCAGGCTGTGACCACAGCGGGGCGGGGGGAGCAGACATCATTCCTCCCTCAATGATCATTCAACGGCGGCTTATTAAGCACCTACTATTTGCCTATGTGCAGGGCCCTTCATGCACAATATCTCATTTAATCATGCATTGAGACTGCAAGATAGATATGATGATTCCCGTTTTACAGATGGGGCAACTGAGAACAGAGGGGGCTTTGTTTGTTCGTTTGTTTGTTTTTAAGGGGTTGCCTGCTGCTGACGGGAGTCAGAGCCAAATCTAGTCTTGTCTAACTTCAAATCCCCCATTCTTCCTACCACCTTCAGGTCTCTGGTCAGGCCGCTTGTAGCTGGGCCTAGAGTGAGTGTGGCCCGAGGACACACCCAAGTGGGCGAGGAGCCCCTAGCCACGGTCCGTTTGGTGCCGCTCCCTTTGTGCCAAGCACAGCTGTAGGGCCAGGAGCTCAGAGACAAACCAGGCACGGTCTCTGCCCTCGAGGGGCTTCCAGTCTGGGGGGAGCCGGTGGGGAGTGGGCTCTGACCTGACCCTGTGCAGGGAGCCGTAGAGGCCCGGGTCTTGGCTGAGCACACCACCCCCTCGGTTGCCTTGGGAGGGGCAGCGCTGGGGCTGTGGGCAGTGGGAGCCTGGGACCTCTGAGGAGGAGCGTTGGGGAATGATGGGAGCCCCGGTGGCCCGGGGTGGGTGGCTGAGGGGGAAGAAAGGAAAATGACGGCAGGCGGAGGGGGAGAGGGTGTGCTGAGAGCCAGGGCTGGGCTCCGGAATCCCCCAGCGGGGCACAGCCTTGACGGGCGAGGAGTGTGACCTCAGTGGGTGCCTAGGTCATCCATGAGCACAGGCTGGGGTGCGCATCAGGGGAGACCTACAGGATGAGGGTGGGTGGGCAGGTGGGACCCTCACAGGGGCAGGGGCTTCGAAGCAGGGGAATGAGGGCAGATGTCAGGAGGGCGTCCTATTGGAGCAGTGGCCACAGGTGTCATGCAGGCGCTGCTGGCTGCCAGGACCTGGAGGACCTAAGGACAGGCAGGGATGGCAGGACTATGCCTGGGCCCCTCTTGCCGGCCGGGTGGAAGCCTGGACAGAGCCTACTGCGCGGGACACAGGCTCTGCTGCAGTCCTCGAGGGAGGCGGCAGGAAGCAGAGAGGACTCAGCGCTGTACAGGCAGGGATGGGGGGAGGTGGCTGAGGAAGCAGATGCAGGCGCAAAGGTGTGGCCGTGCATGCCCTCCCCTGGCCTCTCACTGTGGCGTGCGTGACAGGGTGGGAGGCTACCAGGGGACTGCCCCTGGCCTACCTGCCTCTGACCCTGGCGCCCTGTCTCCTGCAGGCCCTGCAGCGCCAAGAGACCGAGGTCTACGCGTGCCTCGAGAGCGAGGATGGCAGCCCACCCTCCCAGGTATGCAGGGGCTGGGGCTACAAGACCCAGGCCCGGGGACACCAATTCTGGCTTATTCCATCTGACCCTCTCATCTGCGAAGAGGGGGTAAATAGGATTTGGAAACCAGCTGCCTGCTGCTCAATCTCAGCCCTCTCCCAGGCAACCGGCCGCTGGTCAGGAGGACTAGTGGGTGTGAATTCCTGCTCCAGCCCTTACCAGCCGTGCAGCCTTGGCCAAGGTACCTGACTTCTCTGTGCCCGAGTCGCCTTGTCTGTAAACGGAGGAGTCTAACAGTACCCACCTCACAGACAGAATGCTGTGCCGAGAGTGCTGCCCAGGACCCCGTAGGTGCCCGTGCAATATGAGCAATCGTAACTAGCACTGGGCACAGTGTCTACACTGGCCCATCAGGCAAGGCTTCTAGCTGCCCCTAGGCTGGGGTTAGCTAAAGTCAGGAGCTGGCATGTGAGCTGGTGCCAGCTCGCTGGCCTGGTCAGGGCTCTGTTATTGCCGTGCCAGGACCTTAGGCATATTACTTAATCACACTTTCTCTCTTAAACCTCGGTTTGCTCATCTGTAAAGTGGATGAGCGGTGTTTTCCTGCAATACCAACTACCCCGAATTCAAATTAGTTCCAAGGTGAATTGCATCCGCTGCACCAGAGCTTTGAACACTAGAAAGTCGAGGTGTTGTTAACTGGTACAGAAGTTCACGGGCACCTTGGAGGCGTCGTCAGGGAGTGCAGGGGGCTGGTGCTTGGCCTTCTCTGGCTCAGGCTGGCACTATTTGTTGAATCTCCTATTCTCAAAGCCCTTTCTATACGCAGGCCTGAACTAGGCCCTGACTGGAAGCAGGGCTTCTCCACCCTAGGACCCCCAAGGATGTCTGGGCCATCTCAGGCAGTGCCAGCCCTGTGCCAGGCCCTGGGGTGCTAGACAGGAGAACTAGGCATGTTCCTGCCCTCTGGGAGCCTCAGACTACAGGAACAGCGTCTCTAACACCATGACACACAGAGACATCTGTAGCCCTATTTCGAGGGATGGACTCTGGGGAAGGACCAGTCCAGGGCTGGGGGGCAGGGAGGGGTCCCTGCTACTCTAAGATGAGCCCCCACAGACAGGGTGAGTAGGAGGCAGTCAGGGAACAGGTAGGGGGTATCCCAGGCAGAGGACATAGCCTGTGGGGCAGCAAAGGGGAGGCTGGCATGGCTGAGAGCGGGGTGGGGGCAGCATGGTGGGAGAAGAGGCTGGGAGGGGGGCAACACCCCCAAGAGATACACAGGAGCCGATCTGTTGCCTCTGACCAAACGTAAATTAGTGCAAGTTCATTCTTTTCCTACGTAATATTTCTCTCTGTCTGTCTCTTTTTTGTTTTTTTCCTTCTAGGAGAAACTGCATAGACCTGAGGATGACAGTGAATTGAACCTGGTCTATGAAAACCTCTAGGATGGCTGTGCTGCCCGAGGACCTATTCCTGGATCAGAGGCCCGGCCAGCCTCTTCCTCCGAAGGACTTGACCTGACCCAGGAGTAAGGCCCCAGGGGCCCCCCATACCTCACCCTCGCACTCAAGGCCCTTCCTGCCCCATTCAAGGACCTCGGTCAGCCACACTCCCCCCACCTGTGCCCCGGCCACCGAGTGATTCCTGTCTTTGGCCTTTGCCCAGGCTGTTCCCGCCCGGTGGGCCCCTCCTCACCTGGCCCAGCCTGCGAAGTGCTACTCAGTCTCCAAGGGCTTGCTCGGACGCCGCCCATTCCGGGAGCCCTCCGCACCCCCTCACACCCCACAGAGGGGTGCATGTGGCTCCCTTGGTGCCAGCCTGTGCCAGGAAGGGCCCCTGCCTGGTGGAGTGGAGAGTGGAGAGTAACTGCTCAGCTGGGCCAAAGGCATGAGGCGGCCACCAGAGGGGAGCAGGCGTGGCATGGGAGCATGGGGTGTGGGCAAGGAGGATGAACCTCACAGAGGTGGGACTAGGCTTAGGGACAGATCTGGAGGCCTAGGAGGTGGCTGATGGTGGTCGGCAGGCTGGGCAGCAGCAGCAGGGAGGGGCCAGGTGCATGCCGGTGAGGAGGAGACCTGGTTTGTTTGGGGCAGGGCAGAGGGATCAGCACCGAACAGGAGCTGAGCGAACAGCTCGGCCCCCATGGGCCTGGCCTCTATGCTCGCTGTGCCCCTGCTCGTGGCCCTCTGCTCCCTGGGCCTGTCCCATGGGGCCTCAGCTGCCCTTCCTTCCACCCCAAGGCCCAGGCCCCCAAAGTCCCCTCACCTGGCCTATCCCGACACCACCACCTGGGGCCCCTCCAGTCCTCCTCTGTCTCTATCTGCCTTAGGCCCCATCCCTGGCCCCCTGTGGACTGAAGCCCCAGCGCCCTGAGGCCACCTCTCTCCAGTGTCTAGCTGTGTGGCTCAGTGCCCACGGGCAGAGGGCGGGTTCCCCCACGTGGGCACCCGTGGAGGGTGGCTCCTCATCACCTGGCCCTGAGCCATTTCTGCTGCCCTCAGCACCCACCACCCTCATTTCCCCTCACAGGGCAGCCCCGCAGTGTCACTGGAAACCCATCCCCAGGCAGCAGGGGTCGGTGTGGCCCTGGCCCGACTCTCAGCTCTGCTCCCACCTCCTCCCCTGCATCCCGCCCTGGGCTTTCCCACTATTGGTTCATTTGTGAACTGGGCAAGTGAATCCCTCCTCCCCACCTCCTGGGCTGCCCCAGAGGTCCCTCTGCTAGGGGGGACCAGGCGTCCCTGGGCCCACAGGACGGCCAGTGGCCTTCCGGCTTGGTTCTGGGCCCGGCCTTCAAGCACGCAGTGAGGAGGGCTCTTAGTGGGCTTGCCAGGGTGTGGCGAGGCCCGGCTCTCCAGGAAGCTGGGTTTTAGTGAACTCCGTGCTGCTCAGGAAGGCGAAGCTGCCATGCACAGCTGCTCCCCAGCTCCCGGCTCCAGCAGCCTTAGGTGGGGCCCGGATTGGGGCGAGAGACAGCGCAGTGGGCCTCCCCTGGGGAAGCCGAAGCCAGCAAGCCCTGGGCCTCTCTGCCCTCAGCCCCTAGACCCCAGACCCTCTGCTGGGACTCAGCCTTTTCCAGGAGTAGTGAGGGGCCCTGGTGCGGACGTCGCTGCCATGCCCTGGCCTGGGCCCCACCGTCTCTTCACAGAGCGGCCGAGGGATCTGGACAGGACCACACCTGATCTTGCCCCTCCTCCACCACATACCTTGCATGGTTCCCACGACACTTGGAATAAAGTCGCGGCTCCTCCCTGTGGCCTATGAGACCCCTGGGCACTGACCCATCACCCCTCTGGTGGACATTGCTGGAGTCCACCAGGAGCTGAGGTCTTCGATGAGGGAGGAGAGAGGCAGGAAGGAGGAGGAGGGTGCAGGGCGGAAGGCAGGGCCCTAAGAGGGCTGTGACACCAGGGAGGGTAGAGGAAGAACGTTCTGGGACCCCCAGTGAGCAGCAAAGAAGACTGAACACCTGTTCCCAGCCCCTGCAGAGATGAGCTGGCACGGGGGCAAGGGGTGGCAGGTAAATTCAGGGTAGGGGTGCAGGAGGCAGGGGGGAGGAGGAGAAAAGGGGCCGGAGAGGGCCATGAAGCGAGCTCCCTGAGGGCTCTGCATGGGTGGGGCAGAGAAGGGAGACAGCTGCCCTTGGGCACCAGCTCCACCCCCCAGCAGCAAGTCGCTGCCCACTCAAGCCTTGGCTTCCAGTGACAATCAAGACCACTCAGTGTCTCAGAGAGGACAGATGGGGCCTCCCTGGCCCACAGGGAGGCTCAGCGGGTGCGTTTCCTTCAAGATCCATCCTTTAGGAGAAACAGGCTGCAGGGGCAGTGGGAAGGGTGTCTGCTAAGTGAGGGGCAGGCGTCCCTGGGAGGTGGGGCCCCGGGCGGGCTCTGCAGCCACCGGCACAAGAAGCACCTGGGAAGCAGCATGCTCGGGTGGGCAGGTCAGGGCTGCCCAGGGCTGGGGTAGGAGCAGGGCAAGCAGAGAGGTGAGGGAGGGGCTCTAGACCTGGGAGGGGAGAGGCTGAGAGAGCTGGGAGGGGCAGGGAAAGGGGAGCCTGGAACATTCAAGGAAGGTCCGGAGGGGAAGCGGGACAGCCCTGCAGGACCCTCCCCCAGGGCCCAGGGCAGGAGGTCTCGGGTGCTTCCCTGTGCCTGGCCTGGCCCTGCCCTGACGGGATCTCCACCCCCACCCCCACCTGCCCTGCTCTGGGGTCTCCAGCACCACCCCCTTCAGAGCCTCAGAGCATCTGACAGCCTCGGGCTCCCCTGCCTGCCTCTCCGGGGCAGCTTCCATCATAAATGGCTCCTGCTCCTTCCAGCACTTGCTTGAGAAAAGCTTCCCGGGAAACCAAGCCCAGGAACTTGAAGTAGGAGCTAGACGTGGTGGCCCCTCCTCAGCAAAAATTTCCAGAGGATTCTGGCAGCAGTTTCCATGGGAACATGTGCTGGTTATAACACCAGACCTCGGTGGGGCAGGGTTCCCTTCCCTGCCAGGACCCAGGACCCGGGCGCGGTGCTGGCCGGGGTGGCCCGGGCTCTTCGGCCCCCGCCCTGACGAACCTTACGTCTAGTTGCAGTACTGTCTTTTTTTTTTTTTTTTAAAACACATTCTAATTTAAAGGCCATGCTCCATTCTAAGGATGCCTCTGGGATTTCAGGGATGGATTTTTATGTAGTTCAATAGTTTTCTTGGCAGATAGCTCAGCCAGGAGAGGTGGGCGGTTGCCTCAGCCCAGCCAGGCTGAGTGGTGTCTCTCTGTCCCTCCAGAATGCTGAGGGATGCCATTTGCCCACCCGAGGGGCTTCCCCAACCCTGAATTCAGACATCAAGAATTGAGGACGTGGGCTTGAGGGTGGAAGACACCTCCCTTCCTTGACCTGTGGTCATAATTATGGCCGCTGAGCCTTGACTGAGTGTGGGTCAGGCCATCCTCTCCTTGCTTGGTGTTAGCATGTGTTTTTTGTGTGTGTATGCAGGTGACATATGCAGGTGACAGAGGCATATGTTATGGTAAAACATTAAAACTCCAGCAACGTAAAATTCCCTGTGATGCACCTGCCACCTCCCAGCCTCCCTCCCAGTCCCCTCCCCAGAGGTAACCAGCTGGGTCATCCGGGAGTGTTTCTTCACTGCTGTTTGCATTGCATCTATGGACATACGCGCGAAAATGGAAAATATATGGCGTCTGTGTGGGCCTCCGCACAGCTCGTGCGGAGCCATTCTGTAGGTGTTGTTTGCACTTGCTTTGTGCACGCGGCCCCACGTGGGGGGATCTGCCTGAGACAGCACACTGGAGCTGCCAGACTCTAATTACAGGGAAGGATTCTGCAGAACGGATGGATCCTAATTTAATCGGGCCCCTATCGAAGGCCTTCTCAGTTGTTTACGATCTTGCAACCTCAGGTAAGGTGCTGCGGGGAGCATCCTTGTAAGTGCCTCCTTGGACACATCTGCAAAACTTTCTCTGCAGGAAATGACTAAAAGGGATTCCTGGGGCCCAGGGTGTGGAAATCCACTGTTTTAACAGACGCTGCCAGATCCGAGGCACTGAGGCCGCACTGGTTTCTGTTCCTCCGACTCTATCTAGATTATCTCATTTAATCCGGAAAACAGCCCCGCGAAGTGGGGAGCTGATAGTCCGCTTTTACCAAAGCAGAAGCTACCCTTCAGAGGGGCTGGCTGGCTACAGGTCACACAGCCCAGAAGGGGCAACGCCGTCCACAGGCCAGGGGAGGGAAGTTGGTGGGGCGCAGAAAGAGCCATCGAGGGACTTGATGTCCCCAGAACTAGGGAAGCCCATGGAAGGACAAAACCCCTTCAGAGACAGCCTGTCAGCCTCACATTACTCATATCCAATTTCTTGAAATTGTGTGTGGAGTGGGGGTGTCCTCCTGCCTCCCTTGGTCGCTCTCCTTGGGGAAACGGAGGCAGGTCAGCAGAGGCCACGGGGGCGGGCCTGGCTCCTGGCAGCCTGGACGTTCCCAGGCACAGCATGCCTAGAGGTGTGAGCTGCCTCGTAGAAGCTTTATAATCCGGGATAATGCTGCTATAATTGGCCTTGTTTTGCTTTTACAATCCTCTCATTACCTGAAAACCTACTTTGCAAATGGCTGTATCTGGGGTGGGTTTTATTTTACCGCTTTGTGGACCTTGAAGGGCCAAGGAGCCAAGGACCGTGGGCTCTTCGTCTCTTCCCCTCGCATGCCCCATCCCCACTCCCCAGCGATTCTGGCCGACCTGGCCTGGGCTCAGGACACAGCCCTGCGCCTGGCTCCCCACCATGGGCCCGGGCTGAGCCGGGACTGCTCTTCTCCCCAGCACCCCCACCCCCATCACGCCCACCCATCAGAGCCTCCCTCCAACCCCTCCTCCTCCCAGCCCTTCCCAGTCTCTGCCCCAAACTGAACTTTCTATAGCGCAGACCTGGCCCTTTCCCCCTCCTCTCAAATCCCTGCACTACCCTGCAGTCATGGTCAATTAGTTGCAATAAGGCGGCCAAGATCATTCAATGGAGAAAGAATAGTCTCTTCAACAAATAGCACTGGAAGAACTGGACCTCCACACCCTGAGGACAAAGCTGGACCCCCACCTCACACCCTATACCAAACCTTGCCATGGCTTCCACGGTCCACAGGATTGAGGCTTGACCCCTTAGGGCTCTTGCTACCCCTTCAATTTTTCAACATTTGTCCTGCTCCGACTGCATGCCAGGCCCCTTGCTGGGGCTGGGATAAGAGATGGAGGATGCTTCTGTCTTCGCAGAGTCCACAGCTCGTTTCTGACCAGCTCCAGCTGGCCCAAAGTCACCCCATGCCCATCCGTGCTCCCATCCATGGCTGCTGCTCCCCAAGATGCCGAACTCCCCACCTCTGACCCTGTGCTCCTCCCATTCTCTCTGCCAAGGCCCTGCACCTTTGCCTGAGGAGTTCCTGCTCGAATGCCACCGCCTCCATGAAGTCTTCCCGAAACCCCCTCTCCCACCCCCACCAAGCAGTTTCTTCAATCCTTTTCTTGCTCTTTCCTTCCCTGAATCAATTCCATCTCCCCAGGAAGCCCTGAGCTTCCCAGCACGGCAGACGCTTTATTTGCCTCTTTTTGTCAGTGCCTAACTCCTAGCAGGGGCTCAGGAGCCATTTGTCACAAGAAATAAATGAATTTTTTCCTTTCCTGGTAATTCAGGAAAGGAAATTCAGTGCCTGTTCTTGCTGAAAAACGGAGAATATTTTTTTTTCAATTTCCAGGAAGTGATTTTTAATTAGTATGTGACCCATTTTACGTATGTGAGAATTGAGACAGACATATTGCGGCACCCGCAACACCAGGAGAGGCAGGGCAATGAGAAGCGCAGGTCCTGGAAGGCCAGCACCCCCCATCTGACTGGGACGGGGTGGCTCTGTGCCGAGCTGTTGGAGGCCAGGACAGGCACAAGGGAAAAGTCAGCTGTCCTCCCGCCCCCATTCAACTCCTGGCTGCCAAGGCTGTCAAGAGGCTCCGATGACACGTGCCTGCAGACCGAGCATCAGGGGCAGTGAGCCCTGTTAGGGTGGTTCTGCTAATTGATCCTAGAAGCTCCTGTCACTGCCAGGGGACACCAGGGCAAGTTCGGCAATGTCCTGACCGCTGTCTTTGGCCTCACCAGATGGCCTCCCCTCCTGCCTCGGCTGTCTCTAGGCTCGGCCTGATATGCCCAACCATTCCTGGGGCCCTCCCAGTAGCCAGCAGAACCAACCAGCCCAGCCAGGGGGTCGGGGGTGGGAGCACTGGAGACCCCCCTTGTGGGTCCCTCGTGTTCCAGCCTGGTCACAGCCATCCCAAGAGCGGCTGGGTTGGCGGAGGAGGCTCAGGGCTGCTCAGGCAGGACTCAGCCTCAAATGCCCCCTACCTTCCTCCCGTGGCCCCACAGCCTACTGCCTCCTATGGGTGGGGAACCCCGATGTGCCACGTGACTGGAGTGCAGCAAGGAGAGCTGCTGGCCTCCCTGATCTGCTAGGACAGTCCATGTGGCTGAGTCCTGGGGACGGAGGTTAACATTGGAGCCAAGTGCAGGCCCAGGAATAAAAATGGTAATCGTGGTGATGCAAAGTGAGCCGTGAGCCCTGAGCCCTTGCAGCCCAGCCTCCCATCATCCTGTGCGGTGTCCTGCGTCCCTGTCTCAGGGGACAAAGAAAGGAAAGGAAGCTGTGAGGGGCCGAGGAGGAAGCTGACCCCAGGCCACTCTGCCCCTGAGGCTCCACTCTCCCCACCACATGTCAGGGCTCAGGGCGCCCATGTCTTCTTTCTGGATACAAGGCTGGGGTGTGAGATCATGGAGAGCACCAGGGTGCGCCACCCTAAAACTGCCCTGCTCTAGGGAACTGCTAATGGGTACGGGGCTTCTTTAGGGGGTAATAGAAATGTTCCAGAATTAGATAGTGGTGATGGTCGCGCAACCATGTGAATGTGCTAAAAACCACTGAATTGTACCCTTTAAGAGGGTGAATTTTATGGTAGGTGAATTACATTTCAATGATATAAACCAAAAACAAACAAAAAGGTGCCCTATTTAAACACTTTCTGTGTCCCCTGTTCTTTACCCCTAGGACAGAGCATGTGTGCACACACACTTCCCTGGGACCTGGCCCAGCTCCCTCCACCCCAGCCTGCCCCTCCTCCCTCCCTCCTTCAGAAGGGCTCTTCTGGGTCCTCTTTCAACTTCCAGGCTCTGGTACATGAAGCTCCCTCTGCCTAATAGCTAGATAAATGCCTACTGAGTTCTTATCTGGATACAAGCGTTCATCCCATTTTACAGGTGAGGAAACTGAGCCTCAGAGAGACGTAGCAACTTGCCCAAGGCCACCTAGCTGGCGGATGGTGCAGCTGCGATGCAAGCCCAGCAATGGCTTCAGAACCCATGATCTGAACCACTTTGCTCTGTGGCCTTCTGTGGTAGGCTGCATAATGCCCCCCAAGATGTCCACATCCTAATCCCTGGAACCTGTAAATGTTACCTT